CCCCTCCCCTCCCCCACAGCCTCCCCATCACCCCCTGCTGCCCCTCCCTCCCCCACAGCCTCCCCATCACCCCCTGCTGCCCCTCCCCTCCCCCACAGCCTCCCCATCGCCCCCTGCAGCAGGACCTGCACCAGCAGCCCCCAGGGACCGACAGACCCTGGCTATGGAAGAGATCACGTGGGTCAGGAGCCAGGACTCTTGGGTTCCCCCCCAGCTCTGTGGGGAAGGGGGTCTGGTTTCCTGGCTGTGGTCTGGGGGCTGCCCCCCCTACCTCCCCGCCCTTCCTGGAGCCCCAATCCCTGCCCTGGGCACTCACCGGCGACCCCTTGGAGCCCTTCTGGCCCAGCGGCCCCTATGGAGAGAATGGGGGGGTGAGCAATGGGGGGGTGCTGGGGGGTCCTGGAGCCAGGACAGGGGTGGGGGCCATTCTCCAGGGGTCTCTGGGTGGCGCTGTGGGTCTCCAGCCCAGCTCCCACCCCATCCCTTTGACAGAGGGGGCGGGCGAGGGGCCCCAGGGCGTGGAGGGGGCGGCTGAGGGGCCCAGCAGCCGTGTGATACTCACCGCGAGCCCAGGGGATCCAGGAGGGCCCGGGGGGCCAATGGGGCCGACCAAGCCCTGCGGGGCAAGGAACATGTCAGCTCCGCTCCCCCCGACCAGACGCTGACCGACGGCCAAGGGGGACCCCACTGCTGACGGTGCAGTCCCAGACGTGTGTCCCCAGCACTGGGAGATGTGGGGGGGCACATGCAGCCTCCCCATCCTGCCTGAGCCCCCCACCCTCCACGCAGCCCCCCCATCTCACACGCAGCCCCCCATCCTGCCTGAGCCCCCCACCTCACACACAGCCCCCACCTCACATGCAGCCCCCCATCCTGCCTGAGCCCCCCCACCTCACACGCAGCCCCACATACTCACAGGGTCTCCTTTGGGCCCTGGGACCCCCTGGTTGCCAGGCAGCCCCTGGTCGCCCTTCTCCCCCATCTCCCCTGGGGGGCCGATGAGTCCGATGAGCCCTGCGTGACCCTGGGGGGCAGAGGGTTTAGCTGAGGGGGGGGCATCTGTGCCATGGAGCTGGGGGGGGGTCTGTCCTGCGGGACTCCGCTCTGGGCAGTGGTGTAAACATGGGGTGCCGAAGTGGGAATGTTCTTAATGTTTTCTCGGAACATGGTGTGTGCCTCAGTTTCCCCATGTACTGCTGGGGGGATTCGGGTGTGTGACCCTGCAGAGACCCCCAGAGGGCAGGTGTAAGTACCCTCGGCACAGGCAGTGGGGGCCAGACTGTAACCTAGCAACTGACACACCTCCCCCAAGGTGTTGGGACCAAAGAGACTAGGGGAGAGCGGTTATGGGGGTGGGGGTCGGAGGCCAGGCAGCTGGAGGCTGGTCAGTCTCCTGGTTTGGTACTGGGGGGGCAGGAGTCTGGATCCCTCCCCCCCAACTGGACGTTTTGCTGCGTCCCGGATCCCTGGGCTGCCGAGCTCTGTACCCGCCTGTGCCCCATGCCGGCTGGGTGTGGGGGCAGGGCCCTGTGGGGCTTCCCTGGGGTCCCGCCGTGGGGGGCTCATGGGGTGACCGAACGCTCCGAGCCATTCCCGAGCGCAGGGGCAATACGTTAAAACAAATGAACGACCCCAGGTGGATGCGCCCCCCGCAGCGACAAGGACCCAGGAGTCCGGCCCCAGCTGCACCCCCTGTCCCGGGGCTGGACGCTGGGTTAAGGCCCCCAGCGAGGGCAGCACTGGCTGTGATGGGGCCTGGCGCAGGCCAGCAGTGGGGCTGGCAGCAGCGGCCGCAGCACGGGCCCCATGTGGGGGGAGCTCACAACTGGGGGCAGATCCCAAGAGCAGGGGAGGCAACAAGCCGAGGGGGGGCTCTGAGTAGGGGGGGCCATTCCTGGGCCTGCAGGGGACTGGGGGGAGGGGCCATCGC